CCCCCCCCCAAAAAAAAAGAAAAAGAAAAGAAAAAAAAACCCAGGGACAGCGCCCAGCCCCCGAGTTCAAGCCCAGGAGTGGCACAAGAAAACAAAACAACTGAGAATCTCTGTGTGCTGTGCACCAGGAAGTCCCAGCAGCCCAGGTCTGAAGCAGAGACTAGGAGCCCCAGGGAGCGGCCGGTGACCGCAGGCCATGGGGACTGTGCCCTGGGGCCTCCAGGGCCACACACGGTGCCCACCAGTCGAGTCTCCATCACCACTTCACCTGCTCCCAGTGTGAAGTGATTCAGGATCAAGGAACACCGTCGAGCCTGGCACAGGGAGGGCAGGCCCTCACCCACCTGCTCTGTCAGGACTCGCGGCCTCCCGACGGCTCGGGCTAGCGCTCCTCTCCCCCCTCCCGGGGCTGCCCACCTGTGCTGCCTTCTGCCAGCCCATCCTGGGGCTGCTCTGTCTCCGGCCATTCTTGGGTTCTAAACCACACACCGCACCGCTTGCGAGAACATCCTGAGCGGGAGCCCTTCACTCGCGGACCGAGGTCTGCAGGCTTCTGCAGCTGCTGGCAGAACTTCAGTCCTGCAGCATGAGGTCAGTGGGCACGGGGCTCCCCACGCCCCCCACCGCTGTCTGTGGGGCACGGGGCTCCCCACGCTCTCCACCGCTGTCTGTGGGGCACGGGGCTCCCCACGCCCTCCACCACACTGTATCACCTGGATAGGGTCTGGAAGGATTGTTTTGGTTTTGTGCCAGTCTTGGGGCCTGAACTCGGGGCCTGTGGGCTGTCCCTGAGGTTTTTTGTTCAAGGAGAGCAATCTACCACTTGAGCCACAACTCTACTTCTGGCCTTTTGGTGGCCAGAGATAAGAATCTCAAGGACCATTTTCCTCAGATCCCAGCCTCCTAAGTAGCTCAGATTACAGGCGTGAGACAATAGCACCCAGCTGGAGGATTTTTTTTTTTTTTGGTCGGCCGTGGGGCTTGAACTCTGGACCTGGGCGCTGTCCCTCAGCTCTTCAGCTCAAGGCGAGTGCTCTACCACTTGAGCTGCAGCGCCACTTCCGGTTTTCTGGTGGTTTATTGGAGATAGGAGTCTCATGGTCTCTCCTGCCCAGGCTGGCTTTGAACCGTGATCCTCAGATCTCAGCCTCCTGAGTAGCTAGGATTACAGGCGTGAGCCACCAGCGCCCAGCTGGAGGATTTTTAATAGAGAAGAAAACCTTGACTCATCAGACAGAGCCCTGTTTGGGGACTCTTAAATGCACTGGTGAAAAGAATTCCAACACAATTCACAGACTAGAAGGTGGGCAAAGGTTTGATTAGGCAAATGAAGGAAGCAAGCCACAAGATGGATCACACCTGTAACCCCAGCTGCTTGGGAGGTAGAAATCATGAGGATCATGGTTTGAGGCCAGACAGAACAGAAGTTAGCAAAACCCTATCTCAACCACTAAGCCTGGCACAGCAGCACATGCTTGTGATCCCAGCTACTTAGGAGGTAGTAAGTAGGAGGATCACAGTCTAAGGCTGGCCCTGGGGGAAAAAATCATGAAAATTAACCAAAACCAAAAGGGCTGGGGCAGGGCTTAAGCGGGAGAGCATCTGCCTAACAAATGCAAGCACCACATATACACCACACACACACATAAGGCCAATTATCAGGCAGTGAAGAAGAGAGAAACACTAAGAGCTTGGGGCCCAACTATGGGGCCATTCCTAAAGCAGACTCTACCACACAGGTGGTTTCTGTGTGAGGCACCCGCTAGCTCCGACTGTTTTGCTGATACGATGTTCTGAAACCATGAACCAAGCAGAGGCTTTCTGTCTGGGGCCTTCTGATGGCAGTGAATGCAGCTGCAGGGGCAGACAGCCCCAGCCAAGGCATGAGAAGCAGGAGAGGAGCAGAGTCAGAGCCACCAAAGCCAGAGGTGGGAGGTGAGAGAGCACACACCCGGGGTGCTGGAACTTCCTGGAAGTTGCCAAAGCCTGAGGCCAAGGGTTGCTACCCTGGAGGTCAGCGAAGGCCGAGTGTCCTGACAGGGACGGGGAGCGGGAACACTGCTGGCCCTGCCCACCATGGACTGCGCTGCCAACTGCTGGGCTTCGCCAGCTGCCACATGCCAGGCCGCGAGCAGCACCTGGCACCGACCCTCTCCCCTGAGCACTTAGAGACTAAGTCCTGAGAGCTGGGCCGCAGCGCAAGCCTGAGTGTCAACCCATCCCAGAGGCTCTCAGGTCTTCGGTTCCCAGGAACTATCAAGACTACAAGTCCTCCTCATCTACACGCATTCCCAGGCCAGCGTGGCACCTAGGTCCCCCTGGTGGAGCAGGGGTCAGCACTGCCCAACTAGATGAACTTCCCTCCCCACAGGACGCAGCCATCAGCCAGAGCTGGGGGCCAGCAGGACTAGACCCCACGCCACATGGGTGCTGGACCTACAGGAGAACATGGTCCTGACCTGGCGGGGGGCCCAGGGCCCACAGAGGGGGGCTACAGCCAGACAAAACCAAAGGCTGTGTGTGCAACAACCCAGGTCTGCCCGTGATGCTGCCTGCAGCACATACCCTGGTGTGGTGTCTGACATGCCCAAAGACACATGCATGGTGGGAATCCATGACGTGTCCAGGCCAGCTGCGGCCATCTCCCTGGACCCTGCCCCACACCTGTGGGTAAGAACTGTGGAGTCACTTGATGGCTACATTGTTTTTTATTTTATTTTTCCTGTTGCTGGGAATTGAACCCAGAGCTTTACACGTCCAAGTGCTCTACCACAGACCCCCCCTCCCAGTCCTGCTGCTTCTCTCACTTATTGTGCCAGTCATGGGGCTTGAACTCAGGGCCTGGGCACTGTCCCTGAGCTTTTTCACTCGAAGGTATCGCTCTACTACTTTGAGCCACAACTCCACTTCCGGCTTGTGGGTGGTTAATTGGAGATAAGAATCTTAGAGACTTCCCTGGCCAGCCTCCCCGAGTTGCAAAGATTACAGGCGTGAGCCATCGGCACCTGGCACCCACATTTTTTGTTTTGCCAGTCCTGGGGCTTGCTTGAACTCAAGGCCTGGACACTGTCTCCAAGCTCGGTTTGCTCAAGGCTAGCGCTCTACCACTTGAGCAACAGTGCTACTTCTGGCTTTTTCTGTGCGTGTGGTACTGAGGAATCAAACCCAAGCACTCTACCACTGAACCACATTCCCAACCTCTGGCACCCACATTTTTAAAGTCCAGTTCCCAAGGGCTGGTCCAGGGAGCTTTTAAAAGGCTGGCAGTTGGGCTGGGAAGGTGGCTCAGTGGTAGAGCGCTTGCCTTGCATGTATGAGGCCCTGGGTTCGATTCCTCAGCACCACATAAGCAGGAAAAAAAAAAAGCTGGGACAGCGCCCAGGCCCAGAGTTCAGGCCCCATGACTGACAGAAAACAAAAAAAAGTCTGGCAACCTAAGTAGATTTGCTCAACACACAAGGCCTTCCGGCCAGGGAAGGAAGTGGGCACTGACCCGGAGAAGTGGCCAGTAACTCTCACAGTCATATCTGTACAGAAAGGGGGAACCTGCTGGACACAGCCCCATCCAGCAGCGTGCGTAAAATCAGCCAGACTGAGTAAAGGCAGCACGGCACCTCTACTGACCCAGGGACAGAGGTGGCCCTGACCGGAGCTGGTGCCCAGGGGCAGCCCGTCCCTCCAGTGTGTACCCCCTGGAGCATGCCTGTCGGAGGCCCCCGAGCCAGGGGCTGGACGCAGCTTCAGGTCTGGGCTGGCAAGGCGCAGGAAGTGGCCTCGTGGGCTCCGTCAGAATGCAGGGCTTGGGGACTGGGCGCAAGGCAGGCTGGAGACCTCCCAACCGCCCCTGTCTGCTGACTGGCAGGAGGGTGGGTCGGGAGGGCGCATTGCGGCGGTGGGCACATCCCAGACACAGGCGGCTTTGTCAGGGTGAAACTGCCCTGCAGCTCCCAGAACAAAGGCCCTCTGTCTACACCGCGGCCAAGACTCAGTCCCAGGCACCTCCGCAGAGAACAGCAGAGCCCCAGGCCCGTCCACCCCCAGCACACAGGGCAGGCACAGGAGCTGTGCACTGTGGGGACCAGGAGGCGGGACGCAGGCCTCCACAGCCCCTCCCAGGCCGCCAAGCACCCTGCGCTGCCAGCCCGCACCTCGCTTGGGGCTGCAGCCCCAAAACAGAAACCTGACAGCACCGTGGAGGGCTGGGCCGCAGACAGGGCCGCCACATGTATTTTAGGCCCCTCCGGGTCCTCCAAGGAGGGGCAACCTGCCTGCAACCACAGTGTGAGTCAAGTTCCTGGGCTTGCTCCTTGAGTCAGAGCCGCAGCCCGGGAGCGCATGGCTCGACCTCTGCATCAGCCCTGGAGTCTGCCCCCAGGCTCCCCTGCACAGGGCACAGCGTGGCCCTCAGCGTCCGGGTGGCAGGATCCAGATGAGCCCGGGCAGGGCTCCGGCCAGCCTGGCCAGCTCCCGCCGGCAGCGCTCCCGCCGGCGGCGCAGTGTGGCCTCCAGACAGGCCACCTGCGTCCTCAGCGTCCCGATCACCTCGGCCGCTCGCAGGCCAGGGGCCCCTGCTGCCCCATCCTCAGTCCTCACCAGGCGGTGGGGTCCTTGAGGCGGGGCAGAGTCCCCAGAGGGCTCCCAAGACACCCACAGGGCCTCCAACTCCTGCGCCACAGCCTTCTGCAAAGCCCTCCGAGACGGACTCCATGCCGGGCCCCGGCCTAGGCCTTCAACCTGCACCGGAAAAAAGACTGTGGCTCCAAAGCCTCCCGCACGCGGGGCTCAGCCCGCACAGTGCTGCCAGCAGCCTCAAGCCAGACAACTCCTGCCAGGGGCAGGCAGTAGGCTGCCCACACCCGGCTCCCTACCAAGTCCCCAAGTCCCTCGCCAGCAGCTGCCAGGCACAAAGGACCCCCAAGACCAGGGAAATGGACCCACTCTGGGCCCCAGGCTTCTTCCCTGAGGAGCTTCATGGGCAGAGTTAGGGGTGGCTCTGCAGCTCTGGCACGCCTCCATCTCCAGGCCCACCCGAGCTCAGAGAAGGCCCTGAGGAACTCCACTCCAGGCTCCGCATCACCTCCCCACCGTCATCTGCTCCAACACTTCCCTAGTCCTCCAGGTCAGAGCCGACCCAGGGGACATACAGCCCAGGAGGCTGCCAAGAGACGTTGTGGGCAGTGGGCCTGAGCAGGAGGCCACACTGACCCACTCACAACCTCAGGAAGCCACTCAGGCCTCTGAAGACCCCGCTTACTGGGCTCTGCCTCCAAAGAGGCTGGGAAGGTGGCTCAGTGGTAGAGCGCTTGCCTTGCATGCACAAGGCCCTAGGTTCGATTCCTCAGCACCACATATGCAGAAAAAGCTGGAAATGGTGCTGTGGCTCAAATGGTAAAAGGTTGGCCTTGAGCTGAAGAGCTGAGGGACAGTGCCCAGGCCCAGAGTTCAGGTCCCACGACCGGCAAAAAAAAGACACACCAAGGAGCAAAGGTAGGACAAGAGAGGCCCTACAGCCGGGGAAGAGGGGGCCCTGGCTCCCCTAGCAGCCCGCGGGAGAGCCGGGGTGGGAGCCCCGATCTTCTGGGAGGCTTAGGAAGGGGTGTACTCGGGGCTCCCATCACAGTGCTCCAGAACAAAAAAAGCGCAGGGTGCAGCATGCGAAGCCTTGAGCAGGATGCGAACGTCAGCTGGACACAGCTAGTGTCCAGATCAGGTCCCAGACCAGCAGTGAGAGACCAGAGAAGATTCCACATGGGCTCCCTGCGCATAGCCGCACCAGCGCCAAAACCCACCACATGGAGCCACAGGCCCTGCACCTCACACCCTCTGCTCTGCTGGAGCTGGTGCCAGAGTATTTACTAAAGTGCCCAACTGAGTCCATCCAACCAGGTCACTCAACTAGTGGCTCAAGGGACCACCTCTGCTCTTCCCAATGAGTGGTCAGACACGGGAGGGGACGTGCAGGGAGATGAGGCTGGAGGGGAAGGGGCGAGGGCCAGGATAGCAGGGGGCAGGGCTACGGCGGGGCTCACCTGGGCCTGCCAGGCCGCCCTCCGGAGCGCCACCAGCTCCTGCAGCTCCTCCTGCAGGGAACGCAGTTCCTGCGCTGCCAGCTCCAATTCACCAAGCCTGTGCCCGGAGGTGACAGGCGGGACTGCCGGCTGCGAGGCCTTGGCGGGGCTCTCGGGACAGGCACCCAGGACTGTGTCCTGACAGAGACCCGAGTGAGAAGTCCTGGCCCCCCGGGGTCCCGGCCAGAGGGACGGGAAGTCAGGGCTCCCCCTCCCCCGGGGTCCTGACCAGAGGGATGGGAAGTCAGGGCTCCCCCTCCCCCGGGGTCCTGGCCAGAGGGATGGGAAGTCAGGGCTCCCCCTCCCCCGGGGTCCTGGCCAGAGGGACAGGAGTCAGGGCACCCCCTCCCCCAGGGTCCAGGCCAGAGGGACAGGAGTCAGGGCTCCCCCTCCCACAGGGTCCAGGCCAGAGGGACAGGAAGTGGGGGGAGGGGCTCCCCCCACGATCCCACCAGCTGACCAGCCCCTGACACACAGCCTTCAGTAAGGCACCCAGCCCAGACTTGGGGGAGGATCTAAAGTGAGTCACCAGAAAATAAGCCCCCATCCCACCCCATGCCCACCCCAGAGGGGAGGCAGGCGGGGGAGGCTCCTCACCATCCACTGCCAGTAGACCAGCTCCAGGCGCCGCCACTCCAGCACTGATTCCAGGCGTGCGTTCTCACGCTCCAGCGCCCACAGCAGCTGGGGAACAGTCACGGCTGGGCCACACTGCCCCGGCCCCCAGAGACCCACGAGCTTCCCGCGTGGGGCCCCCTGGGGTGGGCAGGCCCCACATCCCACCCCATCCCCACTCCCACTGCCTCCTGGAGGCTTCAGCCCTGGGGAGGCTCCCACCTCCGCGGACCGCCGGGCTTGGCAGCCCAGCCTGAGCACACAGTCCCCCACCGTCCGGCAAGGAGAGGGACTACAGACGGCGGGGGGCGGGGAGGAGAGGCCTAGAAGGCCAGCAGGCGGCAGCAGGTGACCCTCCCCGGGAGCTGGAACTCCAGACAAGTTTGCACCTGGCCCAACTGGTCCGTACTGGGGCTCGGAGGGGAGATGGGTGTGCGCCGGGTGAGGAAGCACCTCCTCCTGCAGCCCACAGCCCGCTGTGCACACGCCGTACACCTGGAGTGCAGGCAGGGAGACGCCCAGCCAAGTGGCCCACGGTGCGCGCCACAGCACAGGCCCGGCTCTGGCCTCTGCTCCTCAGGCTGGCAGGAGCCCAGGGCTCCAGCCGGGGACTCCTAACCCAGTGTCTCCTTTTCGGACCACCCAGTGCCCCTCCCTGTCCCCTCCAGAGACAGGTGCTGATGACCCGCAAGCAGAGCCCCTCCAGACGCCAGAGGCACTTTGCCTAGCCAGAGGCCCTGCTAGTACTTGGGGCAAGTACCCACACAGACACCCGCAGCACGCCCCAGAGCTCCTCAGCAGAGAGGACAGCACATGCCAGCTCTCTCCGGAATACCCCACCTCTGGCTCCAGAGCTGAGAGCTGAGGAGCCAGCAGGGGCCCTGGGTGCCAGCCAAAGGCCAGTTCCATAGAGGGAGCGATCAGAACCACAGCCACGGACATATGGGAGGCCTGGAAGCTAAAGGAGTCCAGCTCAAAACACAAGAGCACACAAAGTGGGACCCTGAGCCCACCATCCATCCCAGAAGAGCAGACTCATCCACAACGGACATCGGAACATGCCAGCTGACGCCGCTGCCAAGAATGGTCCTTAGGATGTTGGTACTCCTAGGCCACCGTGGGGCTGGGGACTCAGAGGAGCCTTGACCTTCCTCTTCCCCTGCTGTGCAGTCCGAACCAGGCCCCATGGTGCAAACGGAAGGCTGGGTCTCTGCCAGTGATTGCCAATCGCTGGGTCAGCCAGCAGCCCGTCTGGCGCTCACACACCAGCATAAGCCACTCTGGAAGTTCTGGGACCAGCCCACACCATGGGTCTGCTTCCCCTCCGACACTCCAGAAGGAAGCCAACCTGTGGCTTCAGTCCACCTGCTACCCCCAACTCTGGGTCCGGGGGCACCAACACATGCCAGCCTCCAAGACAGGAACGCACTGGACGCACGGGTGCCCACTCCCACCGAGGTGATCTTACAGAGAGGGTTCCAGGCAGGACTCCTGGGCAAGTCTAGCTTCCACTTGCTCAAACCCAGGGACCAGGGCTGAGTCAACCCTGTGAGGGGACAGAGCCATGAGATGATGGAGACACCAAATATGCCACAGCACCTGAAGGCCCAGCACAGGCCCCAGCCAGGCTAGGCGTGCAAGCACAGGCCCTAACTGGGGTAGGCCTGGCCTCTCAGGCAGGGCATAACCATAGTTAGCACGAGAGGCCATGGAGGCTTACCAGATGGGCTCCACACAAATCACCCAGCAGCATGATGCCCAGATGGACTCTGCCAGCCAGTATCCCAGAAGCCACAAAGAACGACCACCCGATCACGAGTCAGATGACTGGTCCTTAACCCCTGTGTCCTGCTGGTGCCATGTCTCCAGGCCACAGGTGAGGTATGGGATGAAGTGGAGGGGTCAAGGGTTAGGGAGAAGAGGCAGAGAAAGGGTCTGGCCTGGAAGAAGGGGTCACAATGCCTGAGCGCCTGCTCTTCTGCGTGGCAGGGCATGCCCAGGGCCAGCCGAACATTCAGAATAGTCTAGAAAGCCTAGCACAAAGCCGGCCAAGAGAAGGTAACCAGAGGATGGACAGAGAATGGGCGGGGAAAGGGACAGCAGAGTTGGGAAGAACCAGACAGCCTGGGAAGAGCCCTGATACTCTCCTAGGACCCAGCAGCTCCAGAGGACAATGTCAGCCTGGGACAACACAGGTGTCCAAGATCAAAGCCCTGCTTCGCTCCCGCCTGTGTCATCTGAGAGCCAGGGTCTGTGTGGGATCCCAGGACCCAGAGCAGGCCCTCGCCAGAGGCAGGGGGAGGCCCACGGGTGGACTGGCCTCGGCAAACGCTTCCTAACAGGCCTGGCTCTGAAGGTTTGCCCTGAGCACAGGCCGTCACCCCGGGTCATGGCCTTGGCACCAGGTGCCATCTGTACAGTTCCAGGCTCACTGCAGATCTAACACCAGGATCTTCCATCCTAGAGGCCCCTCCCTCAGTGTCTGCAGCCCAATCCAGGCACCAAGCAACTTGGATCCTACCCACACCCTGCCAGATGACACAGTACCTAATATGTTAGAGAGACAAGGTGGACAGTCCAAGGGACAGGAAGAGTACAGGAGAATACAGCTGTCACCAACAATGACCACGGGCTTGACAGATGCCGAGACACAGATCGAAGCCTGCCACCTGTGCAGACTTCCTGACAGCGCACCACTGCGGGCATGCCTGCCCCAGCGCAGCTCTAGCCCTCACCTGTCGGCCGCCCTCTGGGTCCCTGAGCAGCTCTGTCTCAGCTACAGACAAGTGGCAGAGGCGCGGGTCACTGTGGCATCCCCGGGTGTACAGGTGGATCTGAAACAGGCAGGACAGAGCTCAGGTGGAGTGGGCTGGGCTCCTCCTCCCAGAACGGGCACTCCAGCAGTTCAGGGCAAGTGCCTTCCCCGCCTAAGTCAGAGATGAAGAAACAGAGAGCCGGTGCCAATGGCTCACGCCTGTCATCCTAGCTACTCAGGAGGCTGAGATCTGAGGATCACGGTTCAAAGCCAGCCTGGGCAGTTAAAAGTCCCTGAGACTCTTATCTCCAATGAACCACCAGAAAACTGGAAGTGGTGCTGTGGCTCAAGCTGTAGAGCGCTCACCTTGAGCTGAAGAGCTCAGGGACAGCGCCCAGGCCCAGAGTTCAAGCCCCAAGACTGACAAAAAAAAAGAAGAAAAAATAAACAGAGAGCCACACCTTGCCTGAGGTGATCCAGGGCAGGGCCCAGGCTCTCCCAGAACGGTCCCAGGCCTGTCCCCAGCTCGGCCTGCCCAGGGACCCCCTGCAGTGGGAACCACGCCCAGCCCCCCAAGGTACATGATAAGGTAGAGAGGCCCATCCTGCGTGCCCTCCAGGCTATCCAAGTGACCCAAAGGCCAGCGGGCAGAGGGACAGCCTCCAGACAGGTACAGTGGTGCCGGGAGGAAACACTGGGACACAGAACAATGGACACAGTCTAGGGGACAGGGAAGTCCTCGCAGGGGCAAGGCCGGGAAGCAGCAGCCACTACAGTCAAGAAGCAAGCATGTTCTGTGCCAGTGAGCCAAGGCCCGGGAGGGAAGCACCTCTGCTAGGGGCAGAGTCCATCCAACAGGCCCCTTTCCCATAGCCCATGCTCCCTTCCCAGAACCTGGGAGAGGTCATCACTAGGCCCCTTGGGTGCTGGCAGTGAACTGTCAGCCTCCTCCGCCTTTACCTTGAGACGGCACTCTGCTGCGGCAGTTACATACTAGCCTGCCCTGAGCACCAAAGTCCCTGCCTGCTAGCCCCTCCTCGCCCCTGTAGCCTGTAAGGTCACCTCAGACACTGACCAGCACTTCTTCTAATTTAGTGAGAAGTGGCCTTGCCAGTCTCTTTGCTGGCAATAAACCTTTCTTTGTTCCTTGTGCCTGGGTGTCTGCGTGGTTTTCTGGCAGGGCCTAACAGGCAGACATGTAGACACCTGTAGGCCACAACCAACCACCCAATAGCACTGACCTCGCAATGTCCCTGCAGCTGACACCAGCAGAGCTGGTGCCAACCCTGAACTGCCAATACCCAGGACATTAAAACAGCAGGTGCCTCTCCTCGAGGGGCCAGGTGGCAGCTGGTCACACATGGCTTATCGAGTCAGATGAAGGCCACTGCCATTTCTGTGACAAGGCAAACCTCACTGGTGGACACCCAGCTTTACGCTGCAGGCCTCAGGAACACTGACACAGCTGGTCCCATACTCCAGCCCCACCTACCCAGCTCTGTCCTGTCCAGCTCCCCTACCTGCACGAAGTCAGGTTCCAGGACTCTACTGGACAGTACCTCCCTGAAGTTCCAGCCTCAGCCAGGCCTGGGAAAGCCTCCATCCAGACAGAAACCTAGGCTCAACCCCTGCTGGGCCTCGTGGAACTGGCCACAGGGAGAGGCAGCCTGACAATGGGAACAGGGTTCAACAGCTGCTGTGGAGAAGCACGTAACCACATACCTTGCTCAGGAGGGCACACTGCTCCTGCTGACTGGAGACCAGATGCCGCCACCGGAACCGCAGCTTTCCCAGCATCCACTGCACTTGGCGGAGGTCCACAGGGCCCTCTGCTTCCACGTGGGGTTCAGGTGGGCCAAAGCTAGTCAGGGCCTCACACTGAAGAGGAAGAAAAAGCCAGGTCCCTGCCAGGAGCCATAGCTTGTACCTGTAACCCCTAACTACGCAGGAGACTGAGACTTAAAGATGGAGAGTCAAGGCCTGCCCAGGCGGAAAAAAATTCCACGAGATTCTTACCTTCAATTAGTTACCGACACACTGGAAACAGAGCTGTGGAGCAAGTGGCAGAGTACCATCCTTGACCAAAAAAGCTTAGGAATAACAACTAGGCCCTGAGTTCAAGCCACAGTACCAACAAATAAGTAACTGTCAGACCGCTCCACACTCCACTCTGCCCTGAAGAAAGTGCTGGGTGGGGGTGGGCAGAGGTGCAAGCCTGCTCATCCTCAGTTAGACAACCAGAGCACCTCAGAGTGCCTTCCTGAAGGGCGAGAGAGACGCTGCTGCGGTCTGTCCTTGCTTGGTCACAGAGCATCTGGAGTTGCAGGCCGGCCTGTGCCCGCCGCCGCCCCCCTCCCTCCACACTCACCTGGCACTGGGGCACAGGGTCACCCAGCTGTACCCGGGCCTGGGCCAGCAGCTGCTCAAGCAGGGGGCCCCGGGCTAGGAGCCAGGACAGGGCCAGCAGCAGCTCCCGGCTGCCCCGGGAGCCGTCCTCAGGAGGCTGTGCGGGCAGCGAGCGTGGGTAGCCCCGAATGCGCAGCGCTGACCTCACCACACTGGCCTGGGCCTCTGCAATAGGAAACCACCGGCTCAGGAGGGCCCCTAACTGGAGGGGCGATTTGGATCACCCCAGGCCCCCAGGATGAGGCAGGCAGCTAACAGGTGGGACTTCTGTGGACAGCGGGGGGTCTGACCAGGCTCCTGCCCCAAAGACACGCCTTCAGGGGCTGGGAGGAGGGCGGATTCTGGGGGGGGCAGGGCGGCCTCTCGGACCCCTAGGGGAGCGGGATCCGGAATGGGGGGTGGTCTGGGGTCCGGGGGCGGGGCCCGGAATCTGAGACCTGGGATCCCGGGGACAGGATCCGGAGTCAGGGATCCAGGATCTGGGACGGGAGAGGGGGAGGGGGAGCCGAGGTCCAGGGTGCGGGGCCCGGGATCTGG